CGCCATCCTCAATGTTCCTTTGGTGACTGACTCGACCCGCGGCAACTTCTGAACAGCTCGACTTTAGGTGCGTTTTCTTCCTTTGCCTTTGACCCATACCAAAACGACGTCGATTTGTGATACCCACCCCCTTCGGCGTTGGTTTGACGCTTACCCACTCCCAAACAAAGGTCGATTTGAGCTAACCACACCTATTACTGTGTAGGACCAGCAAGTTCGAGCTCTTTTTGAACTTAGTTTTGTAGTGGCGAACCCATTCCACATCGACCCCCCAAAGACCCAAATTGATTCAGCGAGATTTAGCAGGTATTGAATATTAAGGTGTTAATGATGCGTTAGGACCCTTTGGTTAGTAGTTCTTACTTGTCCATATTTGCTCTTGAACGTATAAGTTGCTTGGTTGTTTGGTTGTTTGGTTGCCTTTAAACTTTATACTACACTTGCTATATTGTTAATGAACGGTTGGATACACATGTTGGTTCTTGTTTAGTTCTGAACACGTGGGATTGAATACTGTTTTCTGGAATTGATGGATGTGTTTCTCAATGGTGTTAACTAAGTTGCTTGCTTGGTTGTGTTCCTAAGAACTTATTGAATATTTGTGATGAGGTTGTAGGGCTGAAGCATGCTGAGTTTATGTTGGTGGTTGTGGCTTTGAAAGATTGTTGTTATGTTGGTGGTTGTGGCTTTTAAAGATAGTTGTTATGTTGTCGTTTACTTGGTTGTGTTTGAAAASCATGCTGAAYTTTTGTRAGAAGCCTGTTGGATATATGTTCGTCGTAGGAGAGGTTGTGTTTCGTTTTGAAAAATTTACATGTTTTGGTTATGGAAATATGTTGGACTGTTATGAGCTGAATATTGGCCGTTCTGAGATTGATGATGTGCTTCGGGCTAGTTGAGTTCATGGTTTCAACAAGAAGGTTTTGTAATTAATTTCTCATCATGTTATTATTTCATAATATAGGCTTGGTGCAGTCGATGTCAAGGATTTAGAAGTAAATGTCTACCTAATATTGAAACTTTGACAACAAGACATGTAAGTGCTTTCATTCTTCTCAATTGAATAATTATTGGTATGAGTTAATGTGTAATTGATTATTTTCCCATTTCATTTTTTATCTTTTTTAGGTGGACTGAATGCATAGATGTAATTGTTATGCAATCTTAGTTCATGGAAGTTATGGTTTTTAAACATAGGCTAACTTTCACCTTAACAATTTTTTGTAAAAATATTGGCTGCTAGTTTTATAACTCTAAAGCATCTGTTGTCTAGTATTGTTTCATTAAGAAATGTTAGAGTTTACAAATCGTTCCATACATAAGGCTGCCTACTAAACTATCATATGGAACTAACAAATGGTTCTTCAATTTCATATGATGTAGAAGGAAACTGTCATGTTGACAACTTAAAATGTTGGGCTAATGTAGTTTTAACTGTCTTAGCAGACTCCAAATGGAAACGTTTTATCACCTTGTTCAAGTATTCAGCCTGTGATATAAACAATATGAGTTTTTTGGACAACCTCTACGAAGCTCCATACCCAGAATTTTCTTGCCTTGGCCCAAGTCCTTCATCTCAAATTCACGTCTAAGTTCATATTTTATCTTCTCAATCTTGCTTTTATCTTTAGAAGCTATCAAGATGTCATCGACATAGAGGAGGAGTAGAACAAAGACATCACTAGTAATAACTTTCTTATATATAAAACAATCATAATAATTTTTCTTCAATCCCTTTGCTATATTTACAAGGAAAATGAGTGGGGAAGAAAGAAAAAAAACAAGTGCGTGTATTTGCTATATTTTAGGGAATATGAAATAGGAATAGGAATAAGAATAGGAAGGTTTATATTTTTTCCATTTTAGTTTAGTTAAATTATACCTTATGAGAGTTTTCTAATTGTTAGACTAACCAAGTTAGATACGATATTTGCTAGCCTTCATATCTTTGCAAGTTTGTTTGTTTCTAGTAAACTTCTCCTTTTAATGACCATTATACGTCATGGTAGTTTCTTTATTGGGATGGTCCTCCCTACGATGTCTTTCATGGAATGATCTCATGCTCTTGAAGCTTGACAACAAGTTTAATCATACTGTCCATATTTGGTGTGTTCATATCTTGTTTCTGGTTGTCTTTCTCTCCCATTTTGGATACTTATGTGGTCTCTTTTGTCAATATCGTGCATTGATTTTAGGATTGACTTGCTTATGTAAGATTGTGCAAATAGCCAATTACGACTTAGTGTTTATATGTGTCATGCATATAGTATATTGTATCGTTGGATAATTGTGTGGTTTAAAGTTTAGTTGGATAATTGTGTGGCTATCCTGCAGCAAAGATAGCCAATTAAGACTTATTGTTCATATTTGTGTCATGCATATAGTTGAAAGTCTAGTTGGATAATTTTTTGGCTATCCTGCAGCAAAGCTAGCCAATTAAAGTTTAGATAAGTAGATTGTTTTTGTTTGTTAGTGTTCAACATCTATGTTGTTCCTAAATCAGTTTTATTTGGGTAAAGTCTTTAGTATTTTGAGAATTTCAAAAACCGTTTGATATTGTCTTTTTGCGTCTTTGTTTTTGTGAAAGTAGGGTTTTGTGTGAGTGATTTGAAGGAAAGAAAAAGATCTTAGGTGCGTATTGTGATTGTTAGCTCTCTGACACTACATAAAGGCTATGAAAGTGTGTTGATTCCGAAGGTCTGAAATATAATTTTCTTTTCTACTATGTTGACCTTTACAATGAGTAGAAAGCGGAAGTAAACTCAGTGTAAGAGATTTGAAAGTTTAGGTTTTCCACTTTTGTGTATATTTGCCGAAGTTAGATTCGTGTTTTCTTAATTGTTTGTTTTGAATATGTTGTTCAGCATGTGGGAGCGAGGGTTGAAGGAAGCAGAGTCGAGCGTTTCTATAATATATTAGCTACATTTTGTAGTTTGACCTTTCACGTTTACACGGTATGAACTCTAACAACATATAATAGTAATATGCTACCTACATTTGTTGTAGTTTGACCTTTTGCATATACTATTGTGAAATATTTGAGGTTTTCGTCCATTGCTTAGGTCTTCCAAGAAGAGCCTGGAGAACCATGGTAGGTAGCTACTTGGAATATCTAAAAGATGACTGTTGGACAATTTTTTGTTGGGTTAGTAATTACTTGGTATAGTTTGTTTATGTATGGGGTTGATGGACATGAAAAACCTTCGTTAATGTATATATAATTTACTATATGTATACACTTTATATTTGTAGGTGGGTTGGTGTACTAATGGATATATGTTTTTGTATGTAAAATACGTCACAATTGACAGGTACAGGTACAACTACGGAAAGCGATTTTTAGAAACATTTCAAAACAAGTTTATATGAAAAGTTACATTTATAAATGTCAAGAAAATAAGTTTCGTGACAAAAAAAACATTTAAAACCGTTTCTTGACAATTAAATTTTGACATTATTAAGTATATCATGATAGTTTTAAATTGTCATTGTAAACCTTTACGTGACATATATCGAATGTCATTATTTAATGTTGCATGACATTTTTAAGTTGTCATTATACAATTTTTTGTGATTGTTAAAACTGGCAATACTGACTATTAAAATTATTGCTACAAAAGTTTTCATGATAGTTATAAATAATCGTTAAAAAAAATTTACGACAATTTTTAACTATCGTTAAATACTAGTTCATGACAATTTATAAACTGTCGTCTTTAGGTATTTATTGACAGGATGACAAAAATATTTGATTGTTTTAGTGACACTTAAATTGTAATTAAACGATTTTCCGTGACAATTATTAATTGCGATGAAAAATCTATTCATGACAAATTGTAACAGTAGATGAAAATGCATTGATGACAAGTTTTCAAATTTGTCATCTTCTCCTCTTTCTTGATGCCTTAATAGATGACAATTAGATAATTGTCGTGAATTATGTTAATGACAGAATTTAGCTGTTATTGAAGGCCAACTTTCTACTAGTGAGCAGATGAGATATTTGTTCATCAATCGACTTATACGTAAAAGGTTTTAAAAATATTTTATATGGACAAAGCACATCCATTGAACATTCCAATGAAAGTTCGTTCACCTAATGTGAAGAAAGATATATTTCGACCTCGAGAAGTAACGAAGAACTTCTTGGTCATGAAGTATCATATCTTAATGCAATTGGTGCATTTATGTATCTTGCTAATAATACAAGACCAGAGATATAACATTTTCAGTTAATTTATTAACTAGATATAGTTCTTCTCCAATAAAAAACATTGGAACGAAGTCAGAGGAACAACTGATAAGAGCTTGTTTTATTCAAACAAATTCAATTTTGATCTAGTTGGTTATGCACATGCCAGATATTTATTTGATCCACATAAACCTAGGTCACTGTTGGAGGCGAATCCTGGCTTGCCACGTGTCATGATCGGAAAAGTGAGCCGGGTGGACACGCGAACGAAATGTAGAAATTGACTTCAAAACCCTTAGGTCGGCAGTAAGGGTAGGACCTGCAGTGCCGAGCCGACCTGAGGCAAAGTCCGTAACAATGTCTCTTCCGAACCCGACAACACGCCGCGATTTTAGGGTGTGTCAGAATCCCTGTCGGGCCCAATTTCTATAAATAGAAACTCTTGCCTTAAATGCAAGGTACAAAATCCTAAGTAGACTCGGCAAGTTAGCTCGGACTAGAACTAACTTGCTCGTCGGAGTGCTAACTTTGTTTTGCAGGTCTCAAAAGTGCTCAGGGAAGGTGTGGGACCGTTGGCCGTAGTTCGTCCCGAACGTACCGATCTAAATTGTATCCGAGCTCATCAATTTC